GTAAATCAGGAGAAATAGTTTGCAAAAATAAAGGTTAGATTCATTACATTACTTTGAAGATGTAGTAACTGTAATAATGATGTTCATTCTAAATGATTAGATCCGACTGAAAAAATTTGATTTACGTAAAGATTCAGCCACTCATACTCATAATTTTTGTTTCCGGTCATATAGTTGAAACATTTATACTCCTAAGTGTGAATTTCAACTCATAATTCATAAAATAACTCAAAAACAAATCCTAATACAACTATAATAAATAACAAAAATGATGACTCAGGATACAAATCTAGTTTTTCCAATTCTCATCTTTAGACATCTAGTCTATTCTTAAATTTATATAGGGAAAAATAATATTCATTTAAAGAATTTTTCTTCTCAAATTTTTTCAAATTAAATTATTATCTATATTAGAGAAATAAATAGAACAAATTTTAATTTTAACAATATTTTGAAAATTATTTAAAAATATTATTTTTTATGAATTAGAAAGAATCAAATACAGAAATTTAAAAGTAAAAAAGACATTTTGAGAAAAAATAGAGAAAACTAGCCCTTTCAAAATCTACAGATTATATGATGGATGATAATTTGAATTAATTTTTAGAGCTCTATAATAAAAAAGATGAGCTTAATGAAACTGAAAAAAAAGAATATTTCAAATAAAAAAACAAGTTAACAGAAGCTTATATTTCATAATATCGTTTATTAACATAGGGTTGGTAAACTTAAAAATAGGAAAAGTTGCAAAATGGAAAGGGAGATAATAAAATTATACAATATAAAAAAAAACATATTCTTGATGAATGATTATTTATATGTCAAAGTGATAAAATAAAGATAATTTAATAATTTATAATTTGAGAATAATAGAAAAATTGGTTAGTTAAATCTAAGTATAATGATATTTATAATTATTGATTTTCTAACTCATTTCAAGATTAGATTTTAATGAGGATTAAAACGATTCTAATTATTATCGAAATTGCTTTGCGAATACCTTTTAATTTTGATTTTTAAAGTTACATCTTGTTATATTTCTTATAATTTAGGACAATCTTAATAAATAACCTAAAATTCTAAAATAATTAGAATTAAAACCTAAAATATGTTTGAGTTCAGGAATATGAAATTATTTAAACAAATAAGATATTGAAAGTTAAATGTTCAGATCAACATCTTCATATATTTATTTTTTTTGATTCTTTTCTATCTTGCAGAAGTGTAAAGATTAAATATTTTAAAATGATGGGATATGTTTATGAAATAAAAAGTTATCGACATTAATTGGAGATCCAGTTCTAATCATTTTGGATATTAGAAAAAATATTTTTTTGTTTTTTTTCTTTTCGTAACGTAAAATTGATGATATTAAATGATTTTATAGAAATTCAACATAAGTTTGATGCTCTTCAGGAGTTCAATGTGCAGTATTAGATTTTTAATTAATATGAATTTGTTTTAGAATATTATTTTTTACAAGAACTACTTCTTAAGGCTGATTATTGATGAATTTAATTACAATAAGAAGAATATGAATTTTATTGAAAATTCTTCTATTTCTATTTAAGGAACCTATAAGAATAAACAGATGAGAGTGGAGATCTAATATTTCTTATTTCTGGATCAAAATTTTATTAGTTCATATAAATATTAGTATAAACATCAGATATGTTTTTTATAATATAATTTTAGATTAATGTAAAAAAAAGTAAACACCTTTATTCATTACTATTAAAATTTATAATAAATAAGAAATGATATAATAATTTCATTCTTGAAATTAGTCTAAATTATTCTCAGTTTCAATGAGCTTTGATTAATTCTTAGTTTAATTAAAATGATTATTTTAGGAAGGCAACATCAGAAATTATTTATTATTCAGCTAATATATTAAATTACTAATTTAATGTTCTTCATCTATTAATTCATTCAAGCTTTCTGATGTCTTTCGATGAGGGCTAGAGGCTGGTTATTATTGGGCAAAAGAACTTAATTCATATTTTTATAAAGATGCCATTTAATTGATAAAATTAAAACCAGTTGTCTAAAGCGATTTTCTTTTAATGTCATATTCACTTTATTCAACCATTTCAATTATAGTTTTAAGACTTGGTAAGTTTTTATTATAATGTTATTTATGCATTTTAATTTTATCTTTGGTATTTATAAACCATGCATGTTTTAAAGCATCTTAAACCTATATTCTTTTCTTTTGGTCTTTATCTATCATCTTTTTTATTAAATCTAGTTAGCAAGCACTAAAAAGATATGGAAAATCTGAATCTAAACATTTCTAAAACTTTATTTCTTGTTAAGATATAAAAGTTTCCATATTATTTAATACCCATTTAATAAATTAATTATTAAAGTTTTAAGAAATTCCATAAAAGCTCACTATCATTAAAATGATTCCTAATTAATAAATATCGCTATTTATTGAAGGTGTTTAATTTTCATTTATCTCAGGTGCAATAAGATATCCAGGAACATTGTTAATATAGTAATCAATAGATTTATTATTATAAAGCTAGATTTAGCATAAAACCGTACTTTATATATTGGATTGATAATATAGGTTCCCATTTATCCTTATTAATTCACTATAATTATGTTATCTAGAGTTATATTTCCATGAAATAGGTCTTCATCTTGCAAACTTTTCAGATTTTAAAGAATTGAATAAGTTATAAAGGCCAAATCAGTTTAAGTTAACATTTTTTTTTTATTAGATAATAACTATTCAAAAGTGTTACCAATGAATTAATCAGTAACTAAATAAAGTACATCATTATCATCAAATATACTCATTATAGGAAAAACATTTTGTATATTATTATTTCTTAAGATTTTAATATAATTATTAAGGATTTCTTACTAATCATAGAATTTGAAATTTTTACGGTTTATAATTTATGCTGCGAATTTCCTTTTCTTTTTTTTATGATATATTTAATAAAAATTTAAACATATATTTTCTTGTATTCTATACTTTTTGAGAAAATCAATTTATTTGCCCTAAAATTTTAAAATCTTAAACCATTCTTTTTAAGACATAGGATGTGAATATATTAATATTAGTTTTCCTTCATGATTTTGTAAAACAATCAGAAATAGTTAATAATTATTACTATGAAATTTCTTCTTTTAAATGACACAGTCACTCAAAACAATACAATTAGTTTCCTCATAAATTAATAAACCATTTGCAATTTATAGGAATTTCAATTATATACAATTGTTATACATAATGTGACAAACTCCTTAAAAATCATAGTTTTCTATTTCAATGTGTAATTCGATAAAAGACATCAATTATAATGTTGATTAAAGTTCTAATATATTAGGTTATTTTAGCACCCATTATAAGTTTATACTTTATTCTTTTGTTTATAATTTGTTTAGTCTTTCATTGTCAACTTTATTTACTTTCTTCTGCTTCATTTAATCAGTATTTTAATATTCAGATAAACTTAAAAGATTAATTGATTAATATCAAAAAAAATTTCAGTTCTCTTGAAAGATTTTCATTCTAAAATAAACATATAAACTTTTAATTCGCATTTTATGATGAATTTCCTCTTTATAATTTTTAAAATTATGCTTTTATATATAATAGTTTTTCATTTCTTCATATTTTTTATCTACATGCATCTCAACATATAGTAAGCATTTAAGTTTGAAATCTATTTTGACTGGAAAATCAAAAAAAATTCATCTTATTATTTATTAAATAACTTTTCAATAATTAAAAGGTATTAGAATCTTAGATAATCTTTAGTTTAAAATAATTTTATTCTAAAAAATCAATATAAATAGAAATTTATTATGAAATATCATTTAACTTCTCATCGAAAATAGTAAATATTTTTTTTTAAGAATTAATAAATATAGAATCTGAAATAGTTATAAGTTTAAAATAATTAATCAAATTTGTAGATTAGAAACACAACTTGAATGGATGATTTGGTGTAAATAAAATAAACAATCCTCTTATAATAATCGTATTTAACTATATCCATTTACAAATAAACACCTAAAATTGAAATAAATCAATATTAATACACTATAAAAATTCTATAATTTTGGAGTATTAAAAATCTCAAAATATAATAGGCTATAAGCAAATTAATAGATTTATACAATATACAAAATTAAAATTACTCCAAAATTCTTTGTTGAATTAGATGAAAATGGCTTCAAGTTTAATTTTAGTGGTGAATATATTTGAGTTATATTTGGCACTAGAGGGACAATATTAAAAATATATCTAAAATTATTTAAGTTGTCCAGAAATCATATGAATTACATGAATCTAGTTATTTATACAAAAATTTTGAATTTGATTTGATTTTAATTTAATCTAAAATTGTAATAAATTAAATTAAAATTGATTTATCTCATGAAATCTTATGTAATTTTTTAATTATTTATATTTCTTTTATTAGCTTTCATAAATCACAAAGAAAATTTGAGAGAATGAAAGAATTTTTATTAAAATTTAAAATTTTGATATATTATGAACATAAAAAAAATAAAGTAACTTCATTTCAAAGGAAAATCATAATCTAATAGAATTAATGGCTTCCTCTTATCAGTATAGGTATCTCTCTCTTTAATTCTATTTGCTATGTATTTAAAATGAGAGAATAAGACCATTTTCTATTTTTTTTTCAAGTCCTATTCAATTTTAGATCTTTCTAAATCAGAGTAATCTTAAACAAACAAAGAGGATCTGATTTGATCAACTCTCCAATCTTGAGATGCAAACTTTTAAGCCTTACGTAGATAATTATTTTTATGTAATTTATCTTTTTCGAACTTTTATTAAAATTCTTCTTTTGTATTTAACATTAAATTTAATTTTTTTAATAAAATAATAAATAATTTAAAAATTTTAAACAGTTTAAAAAAATTAGAGTGATAGAATTAAACAGTTTTTTACATATATTGAATACAAACTTTTTAAGATTTTTTTAATAAATTTTTGTATATATTGAAGTATAATTAATATAAAAATCAAATGTAAAGTACAAATAATTCCTAACGAACAAATTACTTATAAAATTCAAGTTAATCAACAAGAAGAGCACGAATATTTGATACTTCATAAAGTTCTGAAAGAAGAAATACTCCATGCATAATTCCGATTTCAAATAGTTAAGTGAGTAGATCTCCTCAATTATAAACAGAAGACTTTAATGTTTAAGGATTATAGTAAAGTTAGGTGAGTGAGGTTTAGATAAATGATTTAAATAAAGTTAATCAATTTTAAAAATTACCTGATTTAAATCGTTGTAAAGTAAAATTTATAAAAAAAGAAAATTAATCGACATAAACTGAAACAAATGATAAAGATCTAATCATTAAAGAATAAGAAGCATTAATATAAAAATTATAATGCTAAATTTAATAATAAAATAACTCAAATATGGAATTTTCTTTTCATAAAGAGAACATGGATTAACAATAGCCCTAAAAAAATTATAACAACAATATTGGGATTAATTAAATGAATTAAAATTTAGGCAGTAATTCTTAAATGACAAATTCTCCCTACAAAAAATAATCAAGACAATCAAATCAATTTTATTTTACTGCTATTCCTTAGACTAATAATAAATCTTATATTTTAAAACCTTAAAATACTGAAAAATTAGTTTTAGAATATACTAAATAAAAGTCAAATAAAGACTATTTCTTTTCTTAGATGGATTGATTCTTATTTATAATATTTTATATAATAATAATAATAATTATTATTACGCGGTTTAATGGCTTCATTAAAATACACAATACATTAAACATCGACAGATGAAAGTCAGAATCATAATAATAATATTAACTGCATTTTATTTCCTAGCAATGAACATATTTGGGTAGTCCAGAACCCTTAAAAACATGAAACTATTGTAATAAAATTTGATTTTCCTTGTAAAATCAAAGAATTCATAATAAGTATAAATTAGTCTTAGCGTTTAGCTACAAAATCTTGTTCTTAAGTAAAAATCTCATTATATAATATTACAGAAGATAATGTAAAAATCTAATTGAAGCAATTAGAAAAAGTTAATTTTATGACTCAAAATTAAGTGAAAAAAGTTCCTAATCCAGATTTTGAGGATAATTCATATCAATATGCTGAAATAATATTTTTTAGTTAGAATGATGAATTATCCATTAAACATTTATAAGTTTTAGGCTTATCAAATTAAAATCAAACATTATCATAATATCCATTATTGTCTGAAAATAGCCATATCAAATAACCAATTAAGAAAAACTAATTTTAATTAAATAAATCATCTGAAAAAGAATCATTATTAATAATTGATCAATCATCTGCTCTTAAAATTAATCCAATTAATTAAATTAGTTAAAGAAGTGCTTAAATGATATAAAAATCTTAATAATCATCTTTGTTTAATAAAACTCAATAATAAAAAAAGCAAATCAGTGATAAATAGGTTGAAGATTAATCTTTTTAAAAAGCAGTTGAAGAAAGTCTTAAAATGCATAAAAGAGAATAATAGTAAAAATAAGAATAATAGGATTTTGAAATAGAAAAATAACTAGATTAAATGTATTGTGAGGAAGAAAAAGATAATAATAATAAAAATTAAAATATTTTTAATTCTTATGAATCACTAAATAAATAATTAGATGAAGCATTAATTAAGGAATAAAAATATTCATAATCATAATCAAAAATTAAACAATAATTATTTTCAACATTAAATGAAGAAAAAAATGATTTAATTAAAGTATAAATTGTGAATGACAATTTTATTCATGATTAAGAAGAAGAATAAATGATTTAATATCATTCAACTATGATCAATTAAGAATTTGTTTAATTCCACAAAGCTTTGGAAGAATCCTATTTTAGAAGTTCAAGTTTATTCAATTATATCAATTAATAATTCAAACCATTATAAAATTAGCAAGTTTTTATTGTTAAAGATACATTAACCGAATTTGAATATAAAAGATTTGAATTAAAAGTGATTAATTTAGGAGGAACTGTTGTTAAATCAGTTACTAATAATACTACTATCATAATTTCTGATAAAGCTGTACAATTAGATAACAAGTATATAATTATTATTAAAATTAGAAAATATAATATTTATGTTTTGAGTACTAAATTTTTGGAATCTTGTAGTCAAGATAAATGGCCCAAATTTGGAAAGTATGAAGTAAAATGATAAAATTAATTAATTTTATATAATTTTTAGAGAAAAATAGAATTTTCAATGATAATATTAATAAAATTTACTCATTATAATTTAAGTTCATCTAGCTCTTATTTATTATAAGTAGAATTATAAAATTTACTTATATATTTAATATGGTTCTTAACATCTTATATTTTTTCACTAATCATAAGATCATGTATAATTTAAAATCCAGAGAAATATTATCTTGATAAATCGGCTGCAACAGGATCATTAAATAATCTAGTAAAATCTTATCTAGAAAAGTTTTTCTTATGTTCTCCATTTTTCAAGAAAGCTTTAATTGCTTAATTATCAATATTTTTGTTACCTATAAATATTAAAAAATGAATACATAAATATTTCTTTAATAAGACTCCGAAATTTTTAGGAATGTTTTTAGTCTCTGATTTTTATGGTTAAGGTAGGTCTTTATCTTTAATTTTAATAATCTTTCCTTTTTTATTAATTTTTTAAGATTCTGAATAGTCATATGATCCTTCAGTTGAAATAGAAAATCTATTCTAATCTTCAATTCTAAATATTGTCATGAATTTTATTTACTTTTCATCTTTAACATATTTGTGAAAGGATGAGTTAGGATTTGAAAAATTGATTGTTGAGAATTTGAATGGTTGATTCTGTATTTATTATTAATCCATTTCGAATTTTTTATAGATAAATAATTATTTATGTAAATGATTATATTCTATGAAGAAAAAGTATGATATGTTAATGATAAAAAATTGGATAATTTTAATAAATTAATATAATAAATATATATAAAAGTTAGAAAATATACTAACATTATTTATTTATAATAAAATGAGTCATTAATTATCTAATATTGAGAAAATAAAATAATATCTTCATCTTTAATAATAAGTTAAAGAAATATTAACAAAAGAATACATAAATTTATAAAACAAAGAGCATTTTAAAGTATTTATAAAAATACTTTAAAAGGTATTAATTGATATTATGGAAAAACCAGAAAAAAAGAAAGAACATCGATGGAATTATAGTTCTTATAAATAGTGTTTTCATCAATAAAATATTTTTAAGAAATGAGTAAGACAGCAAATTAAGATGAAATGTTAAATTTAATTAGAGTAAATATTAAATTCATAAAAGTAATAATAATATATAGAGATTGCAGCAAGAAGAGCTTTATTTAGATTAGAAGATATTGGAAAGAATTTTTATATAATTTTAAGTGGATCAGCTTGGTTAGTGTAATTATTTATTAAAATAGGTTTTGGTAGGTAAATCTGGATTATAAGTAGGCACATTTAGTATAAATAAATATATATAGGATGAAAATGAATTTGTTGAATTAGATGATGAATGTATGTTATAAACTAAATATCTAAATATTATGAAAGTAGGTCAAATTGGTTAAGGAGCAAGTTTTGGTAAGATTGCTTTTATTAATTTTATTCCTAGATAAGCAACTATTGTTTGTAAGGAAAACTGATGATTTATTACATAGAGAAACCTTTAGTAAATTTCTATGTATAAATATTCATAAATTATTTAGTTGAATATTATGGTAGAATCCAATTAAAAAATTTTTAATTTAAAAAATCTATTTCTATATTTAATGCTTGGAATGATGCTGAATTAAATTAAACTCAATATTATTTATAATACTTAAATCTATAAAGAAGGTGAATAAGTTAAGCAAAAATATTATATTACTTAGAGGAGTTTATTTTTTTTAGATGGATAATTTGAAATAACTAAAATAGATAATTAGAATGAAAGTTAGAAAGCAAAAAAAATGTAAAGATCTTTATGTAATTAAAATTAAATAGATGTGGGTATGGTTAATTGTTTGGTTATTTAGAAATTGTTTAAAATCATGATTATAGATAATCAAAAGCTTTATGTTTAACTGAAAAATCTAAAATGCTATTTTTACCTGCAGATGTAAATTACTAATAATATTTTTAGAGATTCAGATTGTATTGTTGTAATGGAGAGACTCTAAATGAATTAAATAAATTAATTTCTAAATTAGATAAAAATAATTAAATTTCAAAAGAAATCTTTCTTGGGTAGTAAGGATCTTTATAATTTTATGATTAATATAATTTTGATCTTTTAACTTCTTCTAATTATCTTAAAACTTAAGATGATGATGATAGAAATGAAAAAGTTAATTTAACAACTTAAAATAGATTGTCTGAAAAAAAATAACTAATTTTTAGTGTGAAAACATTTAGAGAGAAATTCTTATATAAATTCTTAATAAATATAATAACAATAAATTCTTTGTAAAATACAGCATAAACCTACAAACATTTAATCTTATTATGAATTTATAACTTAACATTCAAAAGAGATATCTTTAGAAAAGCTAAAGTTTTATAATAGTAATTTTAAAATCAATATTCAAAAAATAATTTAAATATTTCTATTTAAAAAAAATTAAGATTCAAAAGTATCACTAATCTAATAATTAAAATTAACTAAAATTTTTAGAAAATAACAAAATTCTGATGATGTTTAAATAGAAGTATCTCACGTTGTCAGAAATAGTTTGAAATTACATTAGAAAAAGAGATTAATAATAAAATCAAGTGAAACATAATTAAATGTATAAATTTATTGAAATTTTAAAAATATATGTTTTTTAAATAAGAAAAAAAAAAATATAAAAATATTAAATACAAAAGTTTAGGAATCATAATTTTAGTGATCTTTCACTTCTAACAGCACCAAATTTTTCATTCAATAGATTCTTAATTCTAAAATAATCATTATGAGTCCATGATTTGATTGTGTCTTATTGTTGATTCAACATTTTTAAAGCCTTATATAAAATAGAATAGTTTACTTATGTCCATGTAACAAATCTTCCTTTAACTCTTAATCTTTCTTCAGCAACTTTTTATCTAACATGATAATGAACTTTCTTTTCATATGTTCGACTATGTTTTTTTTAAAGATATCTAGCTACTTTCTATTTTCGAGTCATTTCTTTTAAAGATTAATGATTAGTGGATGTACATAATTATTCAACCCAATCCTCAAATTTATGTGTTTCTTCATCATTAATGATTTCATCACACAAACCTATTTTGATTCTTTTGATATCATCAGATTTAATATAAGTAGATATAAAATCTTCTTATTTTTATGATGGTTAGAATCTCATTTTTAAATTAGAGAAATGTTCATCTACATTAGTTGGAATTGGAAGAATTTTTGGATAGGAGAACTTTTTATAATTTTGTTTTTAAAGTGTTTCAGCCAATATTTCTAAATCTCCCATAGCATAATGATCTAATGATTATTCAGTTGTTGAACAATCTTCAATACAAACTTTCTTTTTTGGATCTTCATCTAAATGAAATTCATCTAAAAATTGAAGATTAGGTTTCTTATATAAAGATAGTTAATAAGGTGAATAGATTGGAACTTAATCTTCTTCTTCTATATATTCATCAACTTACTAAAATAATTAAGTATTATACTTATTCATTTTCATTTTTGTAATGTGGTTCATATATGTTTTTTTCATGATTTTCGGAATTTTAGATCAATTCTATGCTTTCTTTTCTAATGTTATGATTAACACTCATTTGATGATAAGATTTATATATTTTAAAAAAATCCTTTGAATTATGTCTAATAATTCTTCTGTCTTTTTAATCACAACCATTAACCCCGTGGTTAACGAATATATTATAAACTGATACTTTTTATTAAAGAATTTCTTTAAATTTAAATAATTTCATAAATATACAATTATCTATCTGAAATTAAGCTCAATTGATGTAATGATAATATATTGATTTGTATATATATATATATATTCTCTAATCAATGATTATATAAATAGTAAGTATTTCATATATTATGTACATATTGTTTCTCGTATTCCTCAATAACAGAATCAAGTTTATCATTAATAAAATTTTCAATTTAAGATATATTATGAGATGATACTTTACTGCTAAGACTTTCATAAGAATTGAATTAACAAAATGAAGGATAATAGAATTGAAAATCAGCATACTTTCTAGGACTTTTAGTTCTTTTACGTTATTCCATTCTAATTTTATAAGATGTTGGATTACATCTTTTAATTTAAGCAGCTTAACATTCTTACCCAATTGATTGTGTATCTCTTTAATCAACTATATTGTATAATAATAATATATACTAATTTAGGTAATTCCTGAAAATCCAGTGGCTTTATCAAGGATTTCTTACAAAATGTTTATATTTTCTAATTTACAACTGAAATAAGGATGATCTAAACATTATTATGCTGAATATCTAGTCTTTGGATCTAAATCTAACATTCCTTTCAATAAACTTAATGCTTCCTTCTATAACTTATATTCAAATTCTTAAAAATTAATCTCACATTTTTTATTTTTTTCCATTATTTCTTAAGTATTTTATGCTCTAAATAAGGTTTTCCTTGTTAATCTTTTATAAATATTAAATTTATTAATTACAATTTATAAAATATAACACCTGCACTAAAGATATCACATTTTTCAGTAAAATAGTCTTAGCTATTACTATTATTTAAAATCTCAGGAGCAATATATCCAGGTGTTCCACAAACACTTAATTTTTGGAATTGTTATTTGTATATTGCTAATCCAAAATCAATAATTTTAATAGATGTAATATCATTTGGTTTTTGTAATAATATATTTTCCAATTTGATATCTCTGTGAATTATATTAATAGAATCTAAATAATTCAAAGCTGTCATAATAATCTAATAAAATAATAATTAGATTTACCTTAATAACTTCTCTTATTTAATTTTAAGGCAATTAATCATCTGGATATGATTTAATATAATTATATAGAGTATCTCCTTCCAAATAATCTGTTACTATATAATAAGAATTCTCTCCTTAATAGATTTCATATAATTTAACAAAACTTGGATGATCTATTCTCTATAAAATTTATATTTCTTATTGTAATCTATTCTAAAAATTAATAATAAATTCATACAATTCTATCGTTTGATTTTTTTTGTTATAAATATTTCTTAGAAATGCATTTAGCTGCATAATGTGAAATACTCTTTTTACATTTAACCAAACAAACTTTAGAAGATGCTCCCTAACCTATTATTTGATTTGAATCATAAAATATTGAAATGTTCCCAAAAAACACTTTGCCAGACAAGTGTATTTTTAGTAAGTTTAATGAATTGTGATCTGAATCAAACCATTTAATTCGATTATTATAATATATCCCAAATGAACATAATTCTTCATTATCAGATATCTTCCACATAACCTTTGTTTCCCATATATATTATACTGTATACTTTGCATTTTACATATTTTTTTGCTTAATACTTATTTATTTTTAATTACTTCACTCAAAATCATTTAATCATCATGTACTTCTAAATAATATGTTTTGCTTTTCAATATATGCTTTCTAATACAACTCATCTGATAGATCACTTACATTTTATATTTATTACTTTTTATTTATATAATAATATTGTGTAAATATATATTTGAATTCAAAAACTCATAGATTTGTCATAATATCAAATCTAATTATTGAATATTAATTTATATTCGATAGAGAATTGCTAAAATCATTTTATTAAACAATTGTTTATTGTTAATTTATTATATCAATCAATGATCCAGAAAATGTTTCTATAATTAACATCTATTGTATTTTTAATTAAACAAATAAAATTATCCAATTACCTAATTATATAAATTCATAGTAATCATACTAATTAATAACTGAATAATATAAATATATATGTTTAACAACTATAATATGAATTTAAAACAAAACCAATTTTATGAGTAGTTTTAAGAAAAGCTTCAAGATGATTTAAAAGAAGAATTCAATCTATTTATTGATCAATTTGAATTTTAAATAAATTAACATCTTTTTGAATAAGAAAAATTGTTAGATCAAATAAATAATTTGTAATTGCAAACTCAAAATAAATTAGATTAAGAATTAGCTAAGTAAAGTGTATTATAATTATAAATTAGTAATTTTGATCTCTAAAAATAAATTAATTAGTAGAATGAATAATTGTAATAACAAAATACTTAAATTTCATTTTTAAATAAATCGATGAAAAATGTATATATAGAAAAGATAGATTTATTTTCACCTATTAAAGTACCTTCACTTTCTCCACAAATAACTCGAACATAATGTAATCTCTTTTTGTTATGAATTAGCAATTAATAAATAAGTAAAGAGAAAACTATTATTGACAGATAAAGAAAATGATAATTAATACAGTAGTATAAAAAAGATAAGACAGAATGAGAATTTTATAGATGAATAGGAATTTTTACTTTATTTTAAAGAGCAATGTATAAAAGAATTTTTAGAGAAATAAATGGAGAGAGAATAAATGTTGTATAAATTATGGTAGAAAATGTAGAATTAGAGTTTGGAGAAATGTTAATAATTATAAGAAACAATAGATTTAGTTTGTTCTTAGATGGATTTTTATAAATAACAATATGATACAGATATTAAACTCTATATAGATGCACTTTAATAATATGAAATTAAAGTATCAAAATATTAGATTTGTTTTTAATATATTGTATAAAATATAACAAATTAAGTTGAAATTAATAGTATTATTGATTTAGCAAAGAATCTAAATACAGAATTCAATAATATAAATGATATGGATAAATTAATTGATGTCTTAATGGAATTTAATTAAACAAGTTAGAAATTTAATATAAGTCTTCAAAATAATTAAAATTTGAAAATTTAGAATATGTAAAATTAAATTCAAGAATTAGAATAATAGAAAATAGAATATAATGATATAAAAATATAAAGATAAGAATTATTAGAATTAAGTTAATAGATGAATAGTAAAATCATGCAACAATCTAATTAAATTGAAGAAATGAATTAATAAATAGCATCTTTAACTTAACTATTTTCTAAATCATTGTAAGATTTAGAAAGAATATAAAATGAGAATGAAACACTAAGAAAATCTTATAATTGTAACACAAACTTTAATAATACTATAACAAGTAGAACTTAAGAAGAGAGTGTAAATTTAAAGAATCATTTTATTGCAAATAGCTATTCAACATATATTCCAAGAGAAAGTTTTAGTTGTAAGAATTCTTATCGCATTGAATAAAGATAAACAAATTTTAGTTCAGATTTCAAAAAATAACAACCTAATCATGAACTTGATGATATTTGTTATTTATTAGATTAGTTAATTAATCAAGGTTATTCAAATAATACTCTTGATTTCATTAATAATGTAAATTACTAAATTTAATTTTATAGTTCTAATGTTAATGTGGTAATTTTAAAAATCAAATGTTATGGTAAAAACTTAAAGATTTCTTAGTAATTGTTTACTATTCTTATAATTAATAAGATGATATATTTACATCTTTAAATAAATTTATTTGTGAACTTAAATTGCCTATTAATTAATTTCAATTAATTATAGAAGATGGTTTATAAAATATAAAAAGTAAATTAGAGTCAAATTCAATTTTATTATGTTAGTTATTACATAGAATTGTATCTGATATTCAGGATATGAAATCATCATAAACATATATTTATGAATCAAACTTTAAAACAGGAGAATCTCAAAAAGATTATTCATAAAGTATAATGTAAGAATTAACCAATCTATCTAAATAATTAATTCACATTTGTTAAGAAAATGATGATATTATTGTTTTATAAATTGAAAGATAAATTGAAATATAAGAATAATTAAAACTTTAAAGAAATAAATAACTCAGAGATATTTAAACAAGCACTTGTAAAATTTTAATGGAATTATTTAAAGAATGGAAATAAAATTATCTTAACATTTCATAGATCTTATTAATTCTATGTAAGGGTTGGCAATAATTATAATAAAATAAATAGGATAGAGTTTTAGATGGAATATTGAAAAGTGTACATAATGAATTAAAATAATTATAAAAATCTAATTTAGGATAAATAATTAGTTAAGAATTGAAAACATTTTCATTTATATATAAATTATGAACTCTATAATAAAACAATATTTCAATAAAATTGCTTACGGGAATACACAAGCTCCTTTGACTGATCCATAAAGAGTTCTAGATGTTGATAACTTTGTTTTTTTGATATCTTCTTTTCTAGAAGATCAAGATTTATTACATTTTATATAAGTAATATGAATTACTTATATTATTAGATAAATGAAAAGATCTGGCACTTATCAAAAGGATGTAATCAATTAAATGTTAGAGTCTTAGAAATTAGATTAAATAAGTAAAAAATCATATTAGATGTAAATGATTTTGTCATTCTCTCTAATAGAACTATATCCAAGATCCTAGTTTTTTAAGTAATAAAAATAATAACTAATCTTATTTTTATTAATTCAATAATAATACACTTTAACAAAAATACTTCACAAAAGTATAAGATTTCCTCAGAAATAAAAAGGTCTAATAATAATCATAAATATAAATATAAAATAATTAAAGCTAATAGAATGATATAATAATCTTGAAAGATGAGAATATATAGTGTTAAACAAAAGTTTCTAAGAATGATATAGAAAAATTGATTTCAAATATTTACAATTTAATAAACGAAGAACCATGTTAAGAAATCAAAGAATTTAAACTTAACATAAAAATAGTATTATTATTTATATTAATTTTAGAATGATATTACTAAAAATTTATGTCCTGTTGTTTAATATAATAGAGTGAAGTAATTAGCTAATAAGATAAAAGGTAAGAAATAGTATGAAGTTATACATATATGAATATACATTGTGATTAGCAATATATTTTGGATTATTGTATATTAGTTATAATATTATATAAAATGAGATCAGGCATATTAATTTATTTAATTATGTGGTAAATCATTAATTAATTAAGAAAGCAAATTTTTTTAAATAATACTCTTAATAACGATCAGCAAAAATGGATCAAAAGAAGAAAAATCCAATCGACCCTAAAGACAAAGTATTTTAATTAAGAGGTTCTGCAAAACCAAGAACATCTTTTTTCGTTTCCAAGATCTTTTTGAAGAAGTTTGATGAAGTTGAAATTCATGCGCTTGGAGATGCTATATCAGGAGCTGTTAGATGTGCTGAAACTCTTTAGAGATAGGGTTATAAATATTTATTAATTTATTAGGTCTTGCTACAATCTAAAAGATTGAAACTTTAACATAATAACTAGAAAGTAGATCAAAGGCTAAAATTATTGTATCCCTTAAAGTAACACCAGATGGAAAGAGAAGAATTAATGAAGAAATCAAATAATGATTTGATTTTCATTAGAATATTAAAAACATAAATTAAACATATTTTATTTTACATATTAAAATATATTATTTCTGTTGTTTTTTTATCTTTTAAATAATTCCATTTATAATCATTAACAAATTCTATTAAATCAACATATTAAAATATAAATAACATTATTATTAAATTTATTTATCTAATATAACTAATATAAATAAACATCATAATGAAATTTATTCATTCGCAACACAAATATGTTTTTATGTATTTGATTTGTAAGTTATAATCGTTTATACTAAATTTTCTTTTGGTTTTTATTTAGCTTCTTAAATTAATTCAATTGATAATTCATCTTACGTTGTTAAATAAGGTATATAGAATTAATTAGAATCTGTAGTTAAATTTTAGAATTTCTAAACTTTCCAACCTTAAGGTAAATTAATCTAAATTTATGCTTCCCAACAAAATTAACTTTAGAAAAATGTTTCTACTTCATTGTAGAAAGTGTCCACTATAAATTTATAAAATATATATATTACAATCTTCATCATTATACACATAACATTTTCCATGAAGATTTCTAACAATTTCAGAATAATAATTGTAAATATCACAAGAAGATTATTGAATAATAAATAAATGATAATGATTTTTTCCAATTTTTATATCAATTTGAGGTTTAGATTCTGGTTTAATAAATTAATGTATCCAAGAGAAATGTATAATTTTAATTGATTAATATTCTAATAATCTATTTAAAAATGATTAAGCTATCTCAATAGGATAATTAGATTTTAAAACATTTGCATTATGATTATATTAAGCAAGAGATTCAATAATTCTACAAATACGTCTAATTTTTTGGAATTAAGTTTAACAATTATAGAAAAGTTCTAATTTACATTCTTGATCAGTTGAAGTAAGTGTTATGATATTGACCTTATTATTGATAAATTGTATAATAGTAGGATGTGGAGTACAAGGAATCAAAGCAATCTTAATGTAAATAAATAAATATTACTTCATCAAATTAATTAAGAGATGACTCTATTAATGGAATAATCATACGACATAAAACTAAAGAAGTCACGTCAATTAAAAAAAGAGCTTTTCTACTAAAAGTTGGATGTATTAATCCAATCTCAAAGTTATCAAATTAAATAGGTTATTGCTTATACCAAACTGGTAATTTTAACAATCGTTTGCAAATTTAGCATTGCCATTGATCTTTTTTTATTATAGTAAGATTGCTAATATAAGTACCACAGTTATTACATTGTGGAACCTTCAAAATATAAAACAAGAATTACCTATAAGAATTAGTAATTTAACAGCTCTCCACCGGGTTTTATTTTTATCATTAATTTTTTATATAAATAAAATATTCCTTTTTAACCTTCTCATCATCTAAAGATTCCATTCCTATCTTATTAATCTATTAAAAAGAAATTTTATAAACCATTTATCAAAACAAGAAAATTTTATATATATTCTATCTCCAACCTTAATTAACTTTCAAATTGAATCAAAAATAATAGAAGAAAATATAATATAATTCAAATTTATGATTAGGAATCATTACATAAATTTAAAGTTCTTAACAATTAAAACTAAACATTATAACTAAAATACTTTCTGTGGAGAGAAATTTTAAAAGAATATTAATTTACATAATATCACATAATCAATAAATTTAACACACTTAAATAACCAAATTTAAAGAGATA